ATATCCAACAGCTGTCAAGCCGCTTCTAGAAGTTGGTATCGCCAGCTCGACGTCAGTGGGCAGAGCGACGTTAGTGGGCTGTTGGATATAAGTTATATCCAACAGCTGTCAAGCCGCTTGTAGAGGTTGGTATCGCCAGCTCGACGTCAGTGGGCAGATCGACGTGAGTGGGCTGTTGGATATAAGTTATATCCAATAGCTGTCAAGCCGCTTGTAGAAGTTGGTATCGCCAGCTCGACGTCACTGGGCAGATCGACGTTAGTGGGCTGTTGGATATAAGTTATATCCAACAGCTGTCAAGCCGCTTGTAGAAGTTGGTATCGCCAGCTCGACGTCAGTGGGCAGATCGACGTTAGTGGGCTGTTGGATATAAGTTATATCCAACAGCTGTCAAGCCGCTTGTAGAAGTTGGTATCGCCAGCTCGACGTCAGTGGGCAGATCGACGTTAGTGGGCTGTTGGATATAAGTTATATCCAACAGCTGTCAAGCCGCTTGTAGAAGTTGGTATCGCCAGCTCGACGTCAGTGGGCAGATCGACGTTAGTGGGCTGTTGGATATAAGTTATATCCAACAGCTGTCAAGCCGCTTGTAGAAGTTGGTATCGCCAGCTCGACGTTAGTGGGCTGTTGGATATAAGTTATATCCAACAGCTGTCAAGCCGCGTGTAGAAGTTGGTATCGCCAGCTCGACTTCAGTGGGCAGATCGACGTTAGTGGGCTGTTGGATATAAGTTATATCCAACAGCTGTCAAGCCGCTTGTAGAAGTTAGTATCGCCAGCTCGACGTCAGTGGGCAGATCGACGTTAGTGGGCTGTTGGATATAAGTTATATCCAACAGCTGTTAAGCCGCTTGTAGAAGTTGGTATCGCCAGCTCGACGTCAGTGGGCAGATCGACGTTAGTGGGCTGTTGGATATAAGTTATATCCAACAGCTGTCAAGCCGCTTGTAGAAGTTGGTATCGCCAGCTCGACTTCAGTGGGCAGATCGACGTAAGTGGGCTGTTGGATATAAGTTATATCCAACAGCTGTCAAGCCGCTTGTAGAAGTTGGTATCGCCAGCTCGACGTCAGTGGGCAGATCGACGTTAGTGGGCTGTTGGGTATAAGTTATATCCAACAGCTGTCAAGCCGCTTGTAGAAGTTGGTATCGCCAGCTCGACGTCAGTGGGCAGATCGACGTTAGTGGGCTGTTGGATATAAGTTATATCCAACAGCTGTCAAGCCGCTTGTAGAAGTTGGTATCGCCAGCTCGACGTCAGTGTTCAGATCGACGTTAGTGGTCTGTTGGATATAAGTTATATCCAACAGCTGTCAAGCCGCTTGTAGAAGTTGGTATCGCCAGCTCGACGTCAGTGTGCAGATCGACGTTAGTGGGCTGTTGGATATAAGTTATATCCAACAGATGTCAAGCCGCTTGTAAAAGTTGGTATCGCCAGCTCGACGTCAGTGGACAGATTGACGAAATGTAGTTTTCGGGGGTTACATATGGGACAAGGGAAGTACCCCTGTACACCCCCTATTTCTTAGAGAGTTGCCGTAGTACATGTAGCAGAGCCCGTTGAAAACTACAGACTACGCAGAAAGAATAAAACACAGGAGGGACGAACACAGACGCACACAATTCCTTCAATGAGCATGGAACATTTATGAAATGTTTTATTCTTTTTGTGTATTCTTTCTGTCATAGATTGCGTAGAAGTTTTCCAGAACAAACGACGTGCTCCCAGCTGCTCGTGCAGCTGGGAGCATGTTGATTATGCTGGCTTACGTAACGTATAACGAGCTCTGATTTCCGACTGGATTCGATGTTTCAACCGCGTTCGAAATTATCGAAAGTACAGGGTGTGCCGGTGCGGCCGTGAGAAGCCGCATAGTTGGCACGCCTCAAGATTGTCGATTTCCAACTGTAGTACCTGAAACTGTGCACGCAAACGCAATAAAAAAAAAAAAGATTTATGTCTATTTTCTTAAAACTCAACTCGTAGCCGGTGAAATGTTTGAAAAATATAACAAAAAACGACAGCTGCCGGCTCGAACCCAGGTGGTGTGGAAAGCGCACAAACGCCAATAAGCTTTTAGGAGAGGCTGGTGACAAGCAGGAAAACCGCGATGAATAAGAATTTTAGCGAAATACATGAACGATGACGCAGTTTCAGTTCGCATTTAAAAACTAACAAACTTTTCTGTTTGATTAAAACAAATGTTCTAATGCCGATGAATGTTTGTCTAATTTTGCCATCTGCTATCCGTTCGTGCATGCCTGCTGGGCGCGGAATATGCATAGGGAGGACCTAAAAATGTTATATAAATACAAAATCCCCCCCCCCCCCCAAAAAAAATATTTTTTTTTTTTTTTTTACTGTAAAAATAAATTATGCATCGCCAAACGCTGATTCCCCCCCCCCCCCCTTCCCCCCGCCCCCTCCCCCCAAAAAGTAACGTTAGAGGTCCGAACCGATACGAAAAATTCAGCACTAACCGTTATCTCCAAATGTTACGAGTAGTCTTTGAAATTTTTAATGAGAAAATGGCGGCCGACGGAGCTTTCGAATATATGGAGTTCAAAGGCGCCACTTACCGAAGACGGGCGAAAATGGGCCACATTTTCCTATTGAAAGTTTCAGAAAATCACAGAACTTTTGCATAAGAAAACTGTTAGTGCTGAAACTTTGGCATCTGGTTGTGACCTGTAGCGCTACATTTTGGCGGAAAATGAGCGTTTGGCAATGCGTAATTTATTTTTACGCAAAAAAAAGCTTTCTTTCTTCTTTTTTTTTATTTTTTTTTTGGGGGGGGGGGGGGGGGGGAGGGGAGGAGGGGGAGGCGCTTTAGTTTTTGAAAAAAAAAGAACCCTGTTTTTTCGGCCCGGGTAAACAAACTATGCATCGCAGAAACCTCATACTCCGTGAGAATGTGATAGCGGTATACGGAAAGAACGTGGAAGTTGGAGAAAATAACGTTACGTTGGATGAACAGATAATTGAAAAAGGCGAAATTTTTCACTAAGCCGACGTCCATTTAAGCCTGTTGCTGTTGTTGTTGCTCACAGTGCTTTGTGTATTTCTTTTTTGTGAGTGTGTTTTCTTTGCATAGGCGTAGACTTCGGGGGGGGGGGGGGGGGGGGGGGGGCATCGGGGCTCGTGCCCCCCCTGGTAAGATCCGGAGGTGGGGCAGAACCCCCCCCTCCCCCCCCCCCCCCCCCCCCCCCCCCCGGGTCCGGGCCATGATCCTTACAGAGACATGTTTACGTGCCATATAACGATCTTCTAGTAGTGGCATGTAAACAAAATAACGCCCCCGTTGCCTTTATTGACAAAATACATGGGAAATAGAATCCCAGCATGCTTTCGTTAGCTTCAGTGTCCAGTTCTGGCGAAAAGGTAACGCTCAGAACCCTCTTCTCCCCCCCCCCCCCGTAGAACTTCTCAGCCTGCCCCCCCACCCCCCTTCCCCCGGGAAAATGGAAAGTCTACGCCGCTGCCTTTGTGCTTGAAAATATAACCGTAGAGTACGCTAGTAATGTTATGTTGTACACCATGTCCTTCGTGGATATCTTACGTTCACTTTTGTTGCTCACCCCTATCATGGTCCCCATTGTGAAGACTAACCGCCGAATTCATAGATGTCACTCCGAGTCATGCCAAGTGAAGGGCGACCCTTCACTTACAGAAGGGCGGTTGAAGGGGCACTTCCACTTGAAGTGAGGTTTACCATTCTGAAATGGCACTTCGCTTTCACTCGAGCAAGTGAAGGGAGCCCTTCTACGGGATGCGTCCGGGAGCGAGAGTAGAAAGGAAATTTATATTTATACTTTGCGTAAGACCACAAAAGTAAGTTAATTCTTAGTGTGTTTACATAATTTGTGTTTATAAATAAATATTAGCACATAACAAACATGTTGCGATTTCAGAAACGAACGTAGCTCGTGCATCTTCTTTCAAACTAAATTGGCCAGCAATATAGCCATCAATATCCATGCTGAATACATTCCAAGTCCTTCCGATATCCTTGTTCCAACGCCACCACCGCCGTTGCCTTTTCGTGTTTACTTGCCCTGCTGGTTTGTTCTTTTAAAGTTTTCATTTCCGTAGCGTGTAATGGATAAGGCCAAGGCACCCGCTGCGCGGTTCACAGAGATCGAAAAGGCAATACTGATGGAACTTGTAATGACGTACAAAAAAATCATCGAATGTAAAAAGACCGACGAATCGTCGTTAAACAAAAAAAAGGCAACTTGGATTCGACTCTGCAACGAGCATAACTGCAACCACGGTGTATATCGACGGGACGTGAAACAGCTAAAAAAATGGTGGGAAAATGTGAAGGCCAAAGCGAAGAAAAAAACATTCCAAAGAAAAAAACAAGGTCCACAAAACAGGCAAGTCTCTCGTTCAGGTTTCTCATCGCGCTGAAAGTGCCTCGGAATGAGCGATGGGTCACATTTGTAGCCCGAACTGTCGGTCACAAATTCGCCCTTGTTTCGAACTGTTGTTTCTGGAATACCTGTCATGGGGGATGGAGCGTGAACGTGCGCAGACAAGTCGGTTATGCAACCTAATGCTGTCAGTTGAATACCGTAGTAACCTGACAATGGAGCAGCATGAACGGAACCGCAGCACGATATAATACTACCGTTAAATCAGTAATTCTACTTGCAGTTTTTGCGGCGGACATGTACAGTAGATCACAACTGACAACACCCAGATGCTCAATATTTCATTTCATTACGCATGGGGCAGAGGGGATGAACATTCCCTATCAGCAAATGCATGCCTATAAATCAGGGTATATTTAAAAAGGAAAACAGATCTTAGATAACATTAGAACTTGGAGTGCCTAGATTGACTACTGTTTGCTCCTTTAGGAGGGGGGCCACCTGGCAAGCCAATGAGCGCCACCTCCGTGCTGGTTGGGGCGGTGGCCTCACACGTGTTCAACAGACAGGAAAATATGGAGGACAGCGATGGGGCACCCTATCTGCCCCCGGCCTGCAGCCTCCCAGTTCTCCGACTACTGCAGCCGATGCTGGACGGCGAGGAGGACCCTCTTGATGCCGACTTGGGTAGAATGCTTGAACCGTTTCCATGTCTTGACCTGTACTTTCTAAACTGGTACCTTTTCGTCTTTACCCACTGATCTTCTCATGGATATGCATGGATACGGTTATAGATCATAATGAGTCTGCCTTCAGAAATGTTTCACCTGGTGTTCCTCAGTAGTACATACTGGCACCCCTACGTTTTTTAATAATCATGAATGACCTTGCAGCAACCATCTCATCTAATATTAATCTTGTTGCAGATGACTGTGTCGTCAATAACAAAGTAAAAAGTGTGCATGACAACATTCAATTTCAAGATAATTTAGTAAAAATGAACAAATGGTGCGAACAGCATGTACATTACTTATGTACAAGGTAACATATATCATTGCAGGGCTGGGTTCCATACAGCTTCAAAACAGTACATGGCAACTACTGCAGACTAACAATGACCATACTCCCCTGACAAAGAAACAAACAGCACAGGGTATTAAAATAATCATAGCATGATTTCTGCCAAGAAATATCTATACCAAGCACTCCAAAAGGTGGAAACGGTTAAGTGATCTAGTGGCCTAGTTTATGGCACAGGTTCAAAATGGATGAAAACATTGTTACACATTAGATCAGCAGCAGAAAAAAAAATCAAATACTTCAAATTGCAACTGCATGAAAAACAAAAATACAATCTCAAACTTATAAAAACCCTTTCTACTCTTCATGTATGTCCCATTGTTCACTTCATAACTTCTACGTGTTCTTTCAATTGCAGAGGAGCCCGGTTCACCAGCTGGGCCTGCCTCAGACGTCGGTGCACCACTGTCACCAGCGGCTGCCTGCATTGCTGATAGACCTGCAGCAGCCCCAGCAGCTTGCCTGATTAGCCAGACATCTACTGCAGGGTCACCAGCTCCTACACCTGCGGCTGCTGCAGCGTGCAACAGTGGTAGTGCGGCAGCAGCTGTGGGCAGTGGTGCCCGCCAGGTCGGAGGACGTATGGCGCTGCTGGAAAGGAGCCTCGCAGAGGAAAACGATATGAGGATGGCCTTTGTCCAGCAGGAGCATGCCCTGCGCTGCAACTTCCTTGAACAGGACCACCGCGACGCACTCAGCAAGAGAGCTGCGCTGCATGAAATGGAAATTAAATTGCGCGAGCACGAGCTGAAAAAAAGAAATGCCATTCACGAAATGGAGATGAAGCTCCTGTGTATCAAGGAAAACATACTGCTGCAGGAGCTGAGCCAGAAGGCTGCACAATAAATCATGTTCAAACTGCTATGCCTGCTTTACTGATGGTTCACTTTTAAAGTCAAACTGAAGTATCACACACTTGGAAGTACGACTCCTCACCTTCATGGCCTGTGTGATGGGCCTCTTGAGCCTACGTGCAGCTCACGTAAAGCTCAGCAGAATGATGTTCTGCCGGATACGCAGACCCGAAGGAGAGTCCTCCGGGAGAATCGGTGGCAGGTGTGGCTGCCGCCGCCTTCTGGCATTCCGTGCCCTGGGACTTGGTGGCGGGGGTGGAGGAGGAGGTAGGGGCTCATTTCTTGCACGTCCCAGATTATGTAAAGCCGCACACGCGGTGATGATGCTGCATGAGTGGCGAGTCTTGTGCTGGAGCCGCATATCCAAACAGGGAAATCGTCTCTTCCAGACCCCAAAGGCCCTCTCGACGGAGTTCCTCGTTCGGATCTGGGCCTTGTTGTACCTAAATCAAATTATAAGGCATGTGATCGATTTTTAGGCATCTGGGAACATACTTGCAATCACTGTATTTTCTTTTTCAGTATGGAAATAACAGGTTGACATTCTTTTGTCGAGGTTAGATATGTTTTATTGACAACTTTTTGTGCACGCACGGCTTCATGATACTGTTGACATCTCATGGAAACTTTTTCGTTCTTGCGACATTTCGTCGACAAACGTTTTCTTCTGCTAGGTGGATTGAATTTAGTGGTCGCGGTCGTCAAATCTTATGATTTTTTTTTCATTTGCCTAATGCTGAAAAAGAAAAATTAGACTGAATTTACTTTTTAGTGAATGAACCACCGACGGCGGGGCAAGCTATGTCTTAAACAGACCACACGATCACACCTCGCTTTGCTCCGCTCTGCTAGGGGAAATGGTTCATTAGCGTTGTGCGCGACCAAAAGCGCCGCTGCGGTCAGCTTTCGACGATTGGCCAAACCGTGGGCATATGAGCATTGTCAGATTGTCAGCTTTGACGGTGTTACTTTCGGATTGCAATGACTCCTAGCTTCCACTGTGCTTTTTAAACACACCACCGAAGTCGTCGTCGCACCTGATGGTAAGTAGACAGGATAACAACTGGTGACGTCACGTCGAGGCAAATCCCACTCGTGACGTCACGGATGGAAACCATAACAGGGCGCCATTGAAACATCTCGGTGCTAAAATAATCTCAAGTTCGAGCTTGCACCAAGCCTTGTCGAAACCGCCAAGGGTTCGGCAAGGTAGGAAAGAACATTGGATATCGGCGAAGTGATCTGTCCATGAAACGCTTGAAGAACTGTTTGTCACCGGCAATGACTGCCTGCTATTACAGACATTAGTGATGTTGTCAGTGCAGTACCAAAACAAATCTTATACTTCTGCCGATGATTTGGCTTACCTCCCTCCGGGACTATTTGCCGCTCCAGGGTTTGCGAGCGGCGTCATCAGGAAAGGGAGACAGGCATAGCCCATATCCCCCAGCAGGACGCCGGGCACTCTGCTCTCCTCGTAAAGGGCACGCGCACGACTGCCATCAAAGATGCGGCTGTCGTGCACAGATCCTGGCCAACTTGCCACAACATCAAAGAACTGTAGCTGTGGGCCGGTGATGGCCTGCAGGTATATAACATTGCATTAATACGGCAATTTGGGCCAGTTGGCTCATGCTCGAAAACAAGTGAAACAACTGCCCCCCCCCCCCCCCCCCCCCCCCCCCGGGGCTGGCTACGTGCCTGTTGCCCGTAAATAACGTCGCATATGCAAGCTACGTATAGGCTGTGCAATGGCTATTTCGAGCGGGCCCAGAGGTGTACAATAAGCAGCAACAACACAGCTGATGAAAGGGTTTCCCTATGTTTTACAATGATCGGGTTGAACAGCTGAAATCGTTTTGCGTGAGCATTACCCATGCTTCCCAGCCTGGCAGTTTAGTAGGCAAGCTACGTCAATAAAGGGGGTAAAAGAAATATGAGCTCACCTGGACGTTCAGGGAGAAGACTCCTTTCCTATTGCGATAAACTTCCGCATCATCTCTGCCGGGGCTTCTGATGCGCACGTGGGTGCAGTCGATGCAACCCGTGACGCCAGGAAACTGCCCCATTGCGTAGAAGTCGCGCATAACGCCGTGGTACTCCGACGCAGCCGGGAAGTGCACCAGCCTTCGGAAGAGCACCCTCGCGATGAGCGTCGTCACCGTCCTCACTGTGCGGCAGACAGTCGGCTGGGAGACATGCACCAGGTCTCCCGCTACCATCTGGAAGGTCCCGGCGCCGTAAAAGTGAAGGGTGACCAGCAACTGGAGCAGGGGGGTGAGCGGCAGTCCTCGGTTGTCGCCGGTTTGCTGGAGAGGCAGCAGCGTCAGGAGTTCCCTCACCGTCGTCTTCGTAAAGCGATATCTCGCGAGGAACTGGCGGTCACTGTACAGCTCCATCGGGTTCAGGCGGTCCGATAGATTACGCCGCGGCACCGACGGACCGAGCGGGTACATAACGCCGAACACAAGGTCGCACGCACGAGTAGCGAACTCAAAAGACGCGATCCTGCGAGCGGCATCACTCCGATAACCCGGGTAACCCGCCATCTTTTGCGATGAAGGGAGGCTCGAGTGTAGTTGAAGGGCGGTGCCACCGCTCACTTGAATTTTTTCGAGAAAAGTCCGAGTGAAGTGCGAGGCGAGGGAGCGTTTCGAGTGAAGGGGGATTTATGAAACGTAATGACACCCACTCAAGGGCGTTGGAAGTTAAGTTCGAGTGAAGTGGGATCTATGAATTCGGCGGTAAGTGTATTGTCAAATAAATAATAATATTGTTAAGAAGAAAAAGAAGGGACGTTTTCGTGAGGAGACAAGAGAAGAAGAAGAGGCAGAGGCAACGAGCTTTGGATGATTGTAACCGACATTTTCAATCTTCACCTAATGTAAATTAAATCATTGTATATATCTATATTCGTCGTAACATCTTGGTGGAGGTGCGGTCCGTCCATCTACCTCTCCGTCGCCACCAACCTGGAACTCCGGAGCCGACAGCTCCCCGTCTCATCTACCATAACGGCCTCCGGCAGCACGGCATCTGGCAGTACCCCACCGGAGGGCACACCGTCGCAACCCACCTCCCCTCTTATCATTGCCCACCCTCGCGACCCTGGAAACTTCACCGGATCCGGGGATCAAGATGTAGAACAATGGATCCACCTATACGAAAGAATCAGCGTCCATAACAGGTGGGACCCAACTATCATGCTTGCAAACGTCATTTTCTATCTACAAGACACAGCCCGAACCTGGTTCCTCACCCACAAGGAAACTATTACGTCTTGGGACATGTGTAAGGAACAGCTACAACATCTCTTTGGCGATCCTACTGGTCGAAGGCTCTCCGCGAAGCGCAAGCTCGCTTCACGTGTCCAAACGTCCACAGAATCCTACATTACATATATTCAAGATATTCTTTCCCTTTGTCAGAAGGCTGATCCTGTCATGACTAACGCTGACAAAGTAACTCACATTCTTAAGGGTATTGCCGACGATGCATTCCAGTTGATTGTATTTAAAGATTGTGCCACAGTGGATGCTGTTATACAAGAGTGCAGGCGCTTTGAAGAGGCTAAAAAACGCCGGATCACAGCAAACTTCACACGCCTGCCCAACACGACACCAACTTCCACCTGTGAGGATCCGCCTATATCTGAGAGGCAAATCATCCGGATAGTACGCCGTGAATTGGAAGCGATGCTGCCAACAGAAACCTCTGCTCTCCCTGCTGATTCAGGTAGTGCAGCAGTTCCAGTATCTGCTGTTCAAGCGCTGGTTCAACGAGAAATCCACCGGCTCGTCCCTCCGGAACGACCAGACAGCCGACGTCTGCCTCCTCGTCCTCTCCACCACTTACCATCCACCAATTCTATGAGTCCACAACGTGATCCTAACGCATGGAGGACGTCAGATGACCGACCCGTCTGTTTTCACTGTCATGGAATCGGGCATATTGCTCGGTATTGTCGCCGCCGATTCAACGATGGACCGCGCATTTTCTCATCGACTGCATACCGTCGGTCTTTTCAACGTCACTCCAGCCCACCAGCCAACCTCTACCCTCATGAAGATCACGAGCCCCGGTTGCCCACACGATACAGCCGTTCCCCCTCTCCCTATCTTCGCCGCTCACCCTCGCCCATGCCCCGTCGCTCAACATCCCCCACCCACGACCACCGCATTTCGGGAAACTAAACCGTGCAGCCTCGCGAAGTGGGGCTGCACCAAAATTTGTGCCCATTAATCCTGTACAGGAAGCTATAAGCAACACACAAAACGAACTTTTAGTTTCAATAGACCACGTTCCTATATTGACGCTTGTAGATACCGGTGCCGCCATCTCCATTATGAGAGAAGATCTTAGACGCCAGCTTCACAAGGTTTTGACGCCCCCGGATTCTAAGCTCCTCCGGGGTGCAGACAGCCGCGCTATCTCACCTCTTGGAATGTGCAGCGCTCAAATTACCATAAACAATGAAACCACTCGCGTTCTCTTCACCATGATTTCTAATTGCCCCCATGCTATGATTCTAGGATGGGATTTTTTGTCAACGCACGCCGCCCTCATTGATTGCGCCACAGGAACCATTGCCCTCGACATTCCTACCTAAGCCCATACGTCTGAATCAATCCTTTCAAGATTATGCACCACTGGAAGTCATCGGATTCCTCCGCTTGCCGCCATTACCGTCGAACTTCACTCAAATCACTTTGTTGCCAATGGAGACTACGTTCTAACGCCTAACAAGGACATATTTCTCGCGAAACAGCTTGCCCTCCCGCACTGCATTGTTCCAATTTCCAATGGCCGCACCCACGTATGGATAGCTAACTTTAGTTCCAGTACACAAGTATTGCCAAAAGGTGCTTCCTTAGCAACAAGCTCATCGCTAGACACGGCCACCGTCTCCACTATTGCAGCAGACCCTTCAACCCCTTCTAATTCAACCCGCCCAGCTCCCCTGGACCCTTTCAACATACTCACCATGGTAGACTCCACGTTGGACCCTTCCGAACAACAGCGCCTTCAAGATCTTCTATGGGAGTTCCATGACATCTTTGATTTTGGCAACCGCCCCCTTGGCCAAACGACCCTTGCTACACACCGCATCAACACCGGCCACGCAACTCCCGTTCACCACAAACCTTACCGAGTGTCAGCCAGCGAACGCCGAGTCATTCAACAAGAAGTTGACACCATGCTTTCGAAGGACATTGTTCGACCTTCCTCTAGCCCCTGGTCATCGCCCGTTGTATTGATTAAGAAAAAAGATGGATCATGGAGGTACTGCGTCGACTACCGTCGCTTGAACAAAATCACAAAAAAGGACGCTTACCCACTCCCACGTATTGATGACACGCTTGATTGTTTGCACGGTGCCGAGTACTTTTCCACTATCGACCTCCGCTCGGGGTATCGGCAAATTACAGTTGACGATTCAGATCGAGAAAAAACAGCATTTATTACACCAGATGGCCTCCCTATTGAAAATTCCATCAAGGTACGTAATTTGGGACACTGACTGCCAGTCAGCAGCCTTGGTGGAACGTGATGGACCATCAGACGTCATCTGATGGTCCATCAGATGACGTCTGACTGCCAGTGCCAAGGGAATTTCATCAACAAGGGCAGCATTTATATAAGAGTAAAGCTATACGCACTCATAAATATCGCCAAATGTTCGAGAAAAGAAACATCGACAAAATGTTCGAAAAAGATCGACAAAATGTTCGAGAAAAGAAAAAAGAAAAAAAAAAGCAGAACAACCGCGGATTCGAACCCGCGACCACTTGCGTACAAATCGCACACCCTAACCGCTATGCTATGGAACCGTTTTTGAAATTCGATTTCACTAATCGTTTTATACGAGATGCTTCGGCTGCAAATGCAGTTAAGCCGTCAGCATGTTATGCAAAGCACTCGTACATCACTCGTACATCACTCGCCGTACTTCAGTTCTACTCACCTGCCATGTAGAGTACTTTCGCGTCGTAGAACGATCCTTTTGTTCGCGCGTCACCGGCCCAGTAGACCTGGTACACCTTGTCGTCTTCAACTACACCGCTAAAGTCCCTTACATCGTCGGAACTCACAACAGGCTGGGTCTTGTAGAACCCTGGCAGGATCGACAGGTTGGAGCAAGCGGGCAAACAAAACGAGTCGAGAGCGATCGTTCATGAAAGCTCGGCGAAGCGGCGAAGCCTCTATGGGCGAAGCGAAGTGTCGTTTTCGGCGCTTCGGCGGGCTTCTGATCAGGGTTGTCGGTCGGTTGCGTGTCAAATATCTAACGTCAGCGGTTTTATGGGCTCACGTCCCGAAATCGTTTTCTCGTGCATAGATTACTTTTCGTATTCATAGATTTCACGAAATAGTGGTGTCTGAACGAGCCTTACGTCCTTTGACCGTACGTCTGTCTGCACGTCAAAGCTTTTTGACGTACAGTCAGAGACAATCGATGTACAGTCAGAATCGCCACCAAGACATCCTGATGGAATTTCGCGGCGGCCGACTGCCACCAGGAAACCATCAGAAAGCCGACAAGCAGAGTCTGACTGGAGTTTGTCTGTCGGTCAGAGCAACTTGTTGGCCAATCAGACATGCTTGACGTACAGTCAGGCACAGTCAGCGGTCCACTAGAAAACATTGACTGTCAAACAGGGTTACATTGATGGATTTTTCCTTCGGGAGCTCTACGAATTTAAAGTTATGCCATTCGGCCTTTGCAATGCCCCCGCGACATTCGAGAGGATGATGGATCGCCTGCTTAAAGGTTTAAAATGGACAACCTGCCTATGTTATCTCGACGGCGTAATTATTTTTTCAAGCACATTTTCCTCTCACCTCACGCGCCTGGCCCAAGTACTCGAACTTTTCCGTAACGCCGGCCTTCAATTAAACTCGTCCAAGTGCCACTTCGGCAGTCGTCAAATAAAAATTTTGGGCCATTTGGTGGATAAAACCGGCGTTCAACCAGACCCTGACAAAGTAGCAGCTGTTCAGCACTTTCCAAGACCGCGCTGCACTAAGGGTGTCCGCAACTTTCTGGGATTGTCTTCATACTTCCGCCGTTTTATAAACCACTTCGCACATACTGCCCGCCCACTTAACAACCTTCTGAAAAAATGCACGCCTTTTTTATGGCAATCGGACCAAGAACGAGCGTTTACGTGCTTAAAGACTGCTCTAACAACCAGCCCCATTCTAGGTCATTTTGATGACTCCGCACCCACTGAGCTACGCACAGATGCCAGTGGCCATGGGATCGGTGCTATTTTGGCTCAAATTCAATCCGGACACAACCGAGTAATTGCTTACGCTAGCCGCACGCTTTCTTCAGCCGAAAAAAATTACACGATCACCGAGCGGGAGTGTCTAGCGGTTGTGTGGGCAATAACAAAATTTCGGCCATACCTGTTTGGCCGCCAGTTTTCTGTAATCACTGACCCTCACGCCCTGTGCTGGCTATCGTCTATAAAAGATCCTGTCGGCCGCCTTCGACGATGGGCTCTTCGACTCCAAGAGTACGATTTCACCATAACCTGTAAATCAGGGAAACTCCATCAAGACGCCGACTGCCTATCCCGTTACCCCGTGGACTCTACTACCCACATCAATGAAGACACCGATATTCCCGTTCTTCCTATCTCGAACCTTCTGGACATTGCCCAGGAACAGAACCTTGATCCACTGCTGCACTCTCTCATTTCAGATCTGAGAGGTAACACCAATACACCCTCTTCAAGTCTCTACTCTCTCCAAAATGGCGTTCTCTATTGACAAAAGTTTCGACCCGACGGTTGCTCTTGGCTTCTGGTCATACCCAAGCACTTACAAACGTCTATTCTCGCCGAGCTGCATGACGCACCATCATCCGGTCACCTGGGCGTGGTCAGAACCTACGCCCGAGCGAAGCAACGATTTTACTGGACAAATATGTACAGAACAGTGAAGCGATACGTCACCTCGTGTGACTCCTGCCAGCGCCGAAAAACGCCCTCCTCCCGTCCTCCAGGATTTCTACAACCTCTGAATCCTCCTGAACAGCCCTTTCACCGCGTAGGAGTTGACCTTCTTGGTCCATTCCCTACTTCCTCAATTGGTAATCGCTGGATAGCGGTCGCGATCGATCACACCACACGCTTCGCAGTCACAAGGCCCCTCCTGACCGGAACGGCAGTTGACGTCGCCCAATTCCTGCTCGAAGACATCATCCTCAAGCACGGAGCACCTCGGGAACTTTTGTCCGACCGTGGACGGCCCTTCATATCTCGCGTCGTAAGTGAAATCTTGAACCTCTGCTCCATTCTTCACAAAAAAACGACAGCCTACCATCCACAGACGAACGGCCTCGTAGAACGCCTTAATCGGACCCTTGCCGACATGCTCGCAATGTACGTTACCCACGAGCACAAAAATTGGGACGTTGCACTCCCTTACGTAACTTTCGCATATAATTCCTCTCCTCATAACACAACCGGCTACTCTCCCTTCTATCTTCTTTTCGGTCATGAACCCCTCCTCATGTTGGACTCACTGCTTCCGCTACACCCCGAAGCCTCACTTTCCGACTATGCATCGGACGCCATAGGCCGTGCTGAAGAGGCACGACAACTTGCGCGCCTGCGAACTCTTGATTCTCAGGAACGGCAATGCGCCCGTTATGACAGCCCCCACACTTTCGTCGCCTATTCACCAGGTGACCTGGTTCTGATCTGGACCCCACAGCGACAAGTCGGTTTTGCTCAGAAGCTACTACCTCGATATCGCGGTCCTTATAGGATCCTCAACCGAACAAGTGACGTCAATTATACAGTGGAACCCGTCGAAACTCCCCAAAATAACCGCCCTCGTCAAGTACAAACAGTTCACGTCCTCCGGCTCAAATCATACATCACCTATTCAAACGGCGGGACGCCGTTTCCACCCGAGGGGGAGTGATGTTAAGAAGAAAAAGAATGGACGTTTTCGTGAGGAGACAAGAGAAGAAGAAGAGGCAGAGGCAACGAGCTTTGGATGATTGTAACCGCCATTTTCAATCTTCACCTAATGTAAATTAAATCATTGTATATATCTATATTCGTCGTAACAATATTAATGACACCGCCAAAACAAGTAGTAACACCGGAGGCTCCTGTAACACCGATTTAAGTAAAAATATATATTGTTAGCAAAAACGAAAACAATATTCTCTTTCTTGCTCACAAATGTTTTTGACTGATATAAATCCCACAAGCATTCACAATGTCCGCTCTTGTTTTCACGATATTATGCTTGGGTGGACGCGTCGGCTCAAGAAAAATTCGGTAACGTTACTGTAAGCGGGCCGCCAGTCGGGTGATGAATGATCTTTATTGTTACGAAGTGCGCCCTTATCAAGGCGAGGAACGGTGTGACGTAGGACGTTCTACGGTACATGATTGGGTGAGCTCTTTCACTAGCATGACACAGCTTGTGCCCTGCTACATCTCCCCTCTTTAAAGGAGAATGGAAAGGGGAAGGGGCTTTGTTACAGTCTTTCGGGCAGTGGGTACCGGCAGGGTTCCCGGCGTTCTCGAGTACTTCTGCGTAGCTCTTGACTGGGCTCGTTGATGTCCTGGTCTGCCGGTCGGTCTTCGGTGGAAGGTCGACTTGAGTCCGGCTGGGATGCTGCCTCCCTTAGGTGCTCTCTTGTGCGTCGAATCTCGCGGCCGTCTTCAGTCTGAAGAATCGCTGAACGCGGGGTGCCCGCTGGTCTCAGGATGACGGCTGGCGACCAGGTTCGCTGGCGTGTGTCGTACGTCGTGACCTGTTGCCCCGGTGACAATGGCGGCAGGTTTCGGGAGTTGCGGTTGTAGAAGGTCATCTGCCGCTGCCGGATCTCCTTGAGGCGGTTGTGGACAGCTTTGCTTGGCACAGTCTCCGGCTCCAGGTGGCTTGTTGGTACTGGTAGCAGCGTCCGCGTCTGTCGTCCCATCAGCCTCTGCACAGGAGACTTGAGGACAGCATCTCTGGGAGTATTTCGCCACTCAAGTAAAGCCATTTGGAAGTCTGGCATTCTGAACGAGCACTTTTTTAAAAGTTTCTTGGCCTCTTGAACTGCTCTTTCACTCATACCATTAGAGCGTGGGTGGTAGGGACTAGAGGTAGTGTGCATTACGCCTAGATGGGCTAGAAAGTCTTTGAACTCTTTGCTGTTAAATGGTGGGCCGTTGTGTTAAATGGTGGGACTCTAAGCGGTGGATCACTCGGTTCTCGGGTCGATGAAGAACGCAGCCAGCTGCGAGACTTGGTGTGACGTAGGACGTTCTACGGTACATGATTGGGTGAGCTCTTTCACTAGCATGACACAGCTTGTGCCCTGCTACAGTTACGTTTTTAAACTTCCGCGTCTATCTATCCCAACCACCAGCGTCACATTCTCAAAGAGTTTGAGCTTTTCGCGATGCATACTTTATTTACCCGAGGCGAAAAACAAGGTTCTTTCCTTTTTTTGTCTCGTAAACTTCCTTATTTTTTTCTTTAGTGGCACTGTTCTAACCTCGAAAGCTACAGGCCTTTACTCCTGTTTTATATGTTGTGCATTCACTGGTTCCTGACAAAGTTGCACCAAGCTCCCCGTATGGTCACCATTTTGGTTCATGGTGTGACCAGTTTCTCCTTGGCTTCTCCATTCTCGGTGAGCTAACTGAAAATCAGGGCGACAGTTTGCTTTATCAGTATATTTCTTGTATACCGAGATTTTGTTATTCACACGCACCAGCGAAACAAGGGCACATCTTCGCACCTCCACCACATGAATCATCGCTGTTTCGCGGCACTGAAAAATAATTTTCTGGATTTGATAAAAAGAACAATATCATTATAAGAGATCTGTCTAGATAAACATTATTAATAAGTTACTAGCATAGGCAGTACCAGGGATGCTCATATTGGCGAGGAACGCTTTCGCTATACGATGGCCACCTTGGCGCAGGCGGTTCAGAACGACCCTTTGGAAGTTTTGAAGATTTGAATGGACCTAAATAGTGATAGATATGGCAAGAGACCGACCAGCCAATTGCCTCGCAAGGTTTTGATCGCCTGTATATGTGTTAGAATATGTTTGTGCCCTGCAAACAGTCAGGGAAGGCAAAGGGGCTACTTTCCCGGAAACCAACGCCGAGATGTTTCAGGGGCGCCCTTTTAAGGTTTCCATGCGTGAAGTCACGCAAAGATTTGCCTCGCCGTGGCGTCACGAGTTCTTACCCTGGCTATACTTATCATCAGATGCGACGGCAAGTAAGATGGTGTGTTTAAAATCAAATTAGAATAAAGGAGCCATCGCGTTTTTAAATCCTAAGTTGACATTCAGAACATTCTCTTATGCCCGTGATTTCGCCAATCGCGGGAAGTCGACCACGGCGACGGTTTTGGTCGGGGACGTCGCCAATACACCATTTTAATGCTAACGAAATCATAGCTCCGCGTGCAATAATCACAGCTAACCACGCGCAAGTTTGTCGCTTCAGAAAACGTACAGAGCGCGCGTCATATCCACTATATACTTGCGGACAACTTTCTGTGGCATTTTAGAAGAAGAAGTTGCGCCCATAGCTATGACAGAGCGACAGAGGCCATGATTTCACTGCATAGCTACAAAAAAGTTGTCCACAAGTCTAACACGCAAAATGGCAACGGCCAGAAGCCCTTTTATGAAATGGTCAAGAGAGAGAGAGAGAGAAATGTATGCTTTGAAAATACTCTGAGCATGAAATTGTCTATACTTGTTTCTAACGTTAACTTTGGCTACAAAATGAGAAAGAAACAAAACGATATAAGATCTACAACAAGAACGTTGTCCTACAAGCATTCCTCACAGTGAGAGCGAGAGATGGTCGTACAAACCAACACCAGCTACCATAGCAAACCTCCGACGGGGTGTCTGCATACCCTGCCAGAGGTCAGCGCTGGGCACAGCTTGGACACCAGAGCAGCGTGCCGATCCGAACGCAAACGCAGCACTCGTGCCACTGCCCTGTGTTTCTGCGCTGGCCTGCGCTATGGTAACAACACTACGGCCTTGATGTTTCTTAGGTAACATAATAAACCGGAGACACGGAAACAAAAAGGACATACACAGCACTGTGGTGTTGGACAAACAAGTGCGAATTTTTCTAAAACTGTTGTATTCTTGAGTCATAAACCTCATGGAGACTCGTCACTGTCTCGCCACAATTCTAGTTTAAAATTACTAAACACCCAGTTCGTCTGAGAACAAAAAAAGGCGAGCATTTTAATAGCTATTTTTTCTGGCCTTCAAGGACAAAACACTCGGATTTCAACCCACCGCTTAACAAAAAAAAAAATGTGTTGTGGTGAATTATAATTTAAATATAATTCGAGAAAACAAACCCCTTTTTATCCGAGCAGCTAGTCAAGCAAAGTGGACGATGATAACTTCCGGGGCCTGTACACAGCGTCACTGCGCACGAGTACAGCCTCCAGCCACTTGTTTCGGTCTCTCCCGACGAACGAAATGGCCGGAGAGCTTTGCGCGCCGAGAATCTTGGAGTCCATGCTAAAGCTCCCCAATGCGAGCGGTTGTGCGCCTGGTTCGCCCACGTCGCACGGTTATAATTGCCCTGTTGACAACGCGAGAGGAAGCATACCCCCGTGCAGGCGGGCTCGCACAGGTGGTGTCGGTTTGCATTCCAGCGGTTGCAAACTATTCAGCGTCTCATTTCCACTGCTCCACCTGCCCGTGCTCGGCGCTCTTGTTGGCTCCGGACGCTCGAAAAAAAAAAACGGGAAAACTCACGCAAAAGCCAAGAGCGCACTTCCTTTTCGCCGAAAAAACGTATGTATATTTCACGTTGGTTTATTTCCAATGCAGAGCTTACCGTGTTTACCATTTTGGTCGGGAATACGCTCACAACGGCGTACAGTGTTGAGAATTACTTTAAGTACATTGTACTTAGTCTTAAAGTACTACTTCAAGTAGGTTTACGAAACTTGTACTTTACTTGAAGTACATTCACTGAGTTTGTACTTGTACTTTACTGAAAGTATTTTTTTTTTCTGGTACTTTCCATGAAAAGCACAATTCTTGACTTCAAGGTACATTCCCCAAATGTGGTTTTGTTAAATTTGTACCACGAAATGTTTCTTTGTCAACTCCGAAGAAATACCTGGGAGGGATATTCTGCTCTCATCAGAAACGTGAGCAGACGACGCACCGCTCCCTTTGTTCTGGGGGCGGCTTTCCCGTAGCTTTTTAAACTCTCGCAACTTCTCGGTCGGTGAGCGCAAGTGAGGAGGTTTAAAATATTAGGAGAGCAAAATTAGTCATAATGTAGCATCCGAGACTGTGGTGTGGAAAAACTAAAATTTCAAGTCGAAGCAAAAAAAGAAAAAGAAAAGCAGTGGAGAACGTCACAATGTTTTGAGACATTCTTTTTCGTCTTTTCCTTCCATTTGAAAGTTCCTCAATATTTTTGCACCCAATCTCAGGTGTCACATTATGAATAATTATCACCAGCTCTCTTGCACAAGGAGAGGACACTCCTCTATGAGAGGATTTGTTGCGGAAGCTACGGGGCCGACGTCATGCTCTCCCCTAGTACATGTAACGCCCTTGGATGCAACAGTCCAGTGCAAGGGGTGCCAAATTCAGAAGAGGGTCTTCTGAATTTGGCTCCATTCCTGAAAATAACTACTCTGCGGCCGCTTGACTTTATCAAATATTTGCCGTTGTTTTTGAAAATAAGTCATGCACCCTAGTATCCCTGGGCAATGCATACCAATGATACCAGTTAAAGAATCACAGTTCAGGGGAATGAAAGGGCATCATCAAACATTGTGTTAAAATACTTGTACGTTACTTTTAAAGTACATTGCATTTATAGTACTTTACTTCAAGTACGTTGCATCCAGTGTACTTCATACCCTACTTAAAGTACATCACGTCTCATTTACTATGTACTTTACTTGAAGTACCTTTTAGATGTTCTTTACCCAACACTGACGGCGTAATACGTGTTATCAGCGAGTTTTATAATATCGTACATAAAGAAAGAGCGCGGTCACCCACCACTAAACATGCCTCGAGCCAAAACTGCAGTTTTGACTGACGCATGACGACGATCTTCTTTCTTTCCGTATGCTATTCCAAAATTCGCTATTACCTTATAGAAACTCTTCTTTTTCCCGGAGGGGGGTGGGAGGGGATCAGCCTTCGCATGTGTTCTTGGACAGAGGAATGGAGCGTGCTCATCACGTGAGTCAGGACAGCCACTCAAACGCCCTGCTGGAACGTCGTCGTCAAGGGGTCCGCTGTCGTGGTCAGTCCCAAGCCTCCCGACAACAAACAAGAGTAGGCGAGAAGGCGCATGCCTCGCTGTTTGCGTGGTTCATGATCGTACTGAAAACGGAAGCGGAGCGCGCCGAAGCTTCCACGCTTTTCATGAAGCGCGCGCTTTTTCTTTTTCTTTTCCCTCTTTTTTCTTCATGCACGGCATTCGTTGTTTTCAGCTTCGCACTGATAGCCTTGTAACTCTCAATAAAGTCGATCGAAACACCGACGCGCGCGGTTGACGTCACGGGGCTGCGGCGGTGCTGCGATCAACGCTGGGCAAGACAGCGGCCGCTTAGTTTCCACGTGCGACGCGGCATTTCGGTCTGCCGCAAAGCTGCGTGGCTTTTGGTTGTGCCGAAACGTACTGCGAAAGTGGTGGAATAGGCTTCCAGAAGTTCCAGGCGGACGCTGACAGACGCACAAAACAGATAACCTGCATGGATTTAAAAAAATGTTCGCTTGCACGGACGATTGCATGTGTGGCAAGCCTTCATTGAAGGTAAGTGCGTAGCTCTCACTTTTGTTCCCAGCATTGAGACACACCTATGTTTAGGGACGTCATCTGATCCAGACCACCTGGATTTCGTTCCTACGGTGTTTACACACAAGTTACCGCCCAAGATTTCCTCGGTTGCTCGCTACACTCTAAAACAATCGTGTATTGTTACACTCTTTGTCCCATGTAATGCACCTGAAAACTTCAGTTCGACGTATAGCGCACTATAGTCGAACAGACGGCCCCAAATTTTACGTGGGGATTGATAACGGTTCGATATAACTTACTACATAGCTAAACTACGTATCAGAGATTACTGAAAGAAAACACTGAGGTTTTGCAGCATAGGGTCAAGAAAACCCCGATTTTTTTTTTT